GTCAAACGACATCTGCGGTAGTGTATGTATGTATGTTACTGTCCCACATTGGCAAAGACCCGTAGACATTCGTTCCATCACTAATTTCTTCACCAGAACCACGTATTGGTTTCATTTCTATGAAAAGGGGGTATGTCGGGTGCCTCTAATACGGTATCACAATGGTCTCATGGCGGCCTAAGTGTGCCACCCTCCCAGTGCTGGATGGTGTGAACCCATACATGGTGTGAACAATTGGCGAAAACTCACAAATGAGAGTGGCAGTTGGCAAAGTTATACGAACAAAGAACAGGGAAAAACTTGTATGTACATATTGGTGTAAATGGCTAGCCGCCCACGCAAGTGTCAAATGGTAGTCATGTGTTCACTAATTTTTTTCGTGACATAGTCAAATTAATTATTCGCACGGACAGGCCTCTACCTATTAGTTGCTGCACTCAAACAACAAAGAGCCGTTTGTTTGCTGACGACAACAGAGTTATATATTTTTTATCTATGTATGCTTTATTTTATTTTTTTTTTGCAGACGGCAAACAATTTTAGTGACAAGTAGGCAAACTAAAATGTACTCAACCTGATAAGACATCAAACTAAAGTTAAAACGTGTAGCCGCCAATATAAATAATTGTACAAAAATATGCAGACAGGGGACATAAAGAAATCAATGACCGCCATTCGTGGCAGACAGCTATTGAGATTATTAGTATTGAGAGAAAAATACTTAATTTTTTGTTGATTTTTTTTTTTGCAGTTAGACGTTTAAATTAATTTTAATAGCTGGTTTAGAAGTGAACGTGACTAATTGTAGGAAACTAAGTAAATTTATTTCTGCGTAAGCAAATACCTTTTNGTTCACTAATTTTTTTCGTGACATAGTCAAATTAATTATTCGCACGGACAGGCCTCTACCTATTAGTTGCTGCACTCAAACAACAAAGAGCCGTTTGTTTGCTGACGACAACAGAGTTATATATTTTTTATCTATGTATGCTTTATTTTATTTTTTTTTGCAGACGGCAAACAATTTTAGTGACAAGTAGGCAAACTAAAATGTACTCAACCTGATAAGACATCAAACTAAAGTTAAAACGTGTAGCCGCCAATATAAATAATTGTACAAAAATATGCAGACAGGGGACATAAAGAAATCAATGACCGCCATTCGTGGCAGACAGCTATTGAGATTATTAGTATTGAGAGAAAAATACTTAATTTTTTGTTGACATTTTTTTTTGCAGTTAGACGTTTAAATTAATTTTAATAGCTGGTTTAGAAGTGAACGTGACTAATTGTAAGAAACTAAGTAAATTCATTTCTGCGTAAACAAATACCTTTAAAACCTAAAAGTCTTGACTACTTCAACAATATTACATAAACAGCTGCTTATCTCAATGTCGTACTTTCACAAAATGCGCGTTCAATTTGGTGTTGTGTAATAAATTTTTCGACGCTCATTTATTAGCTCTAGCCAAGTTCCGCTACACTTTAGCTAGCCGCTAATGATGCACTAATTACATTTACAATCCCTATATATTTATTCAAATAAATTAGTATAGTGTTGCTTATTAAAGCTTCTGCCTCGCACCACATGAATTATTGACCCAGTGCGGCATGGATTTCCATTGAAATGATGCAATCGACACAGCCAAAATTAGATGCGTGTAAATATTTGAAAGCGAAAAAGTTGGGGTAGGTTGATAAAGCAGCAAATTTAATTGAATTGACGAAAGCAAAATACGGATTGCAAATAAAGGGTATGTCTGTACAGATGTTTGTAGTGTGGATTGAGGTATGAAAACCGACCGAAATACAGCACACGAAAGTAGAATGAAGTATGTAATAAGTACTTTCACTTGAGACGCTTGAACTTCATTGAGTTTCGGTTGAGATGTCGAAAGACACTAATTTTTTTAGAGTAAAAGCTCCGTTTTCTTGGTTAAAACTTGGCTAAAAAACTAATAAACGGATTTTAATCAAATTTCCGCAGTACTTATATTCCTTGGATCTGTGGCACGCATATAGGCTATATTTTAATCCGCTAGGTGGCGCATGAGTCGTAGTAAGTATTAAAAAAAATGTATTTATGGTCCGATTTTGATGAAATTAGCAACTGCAGTTGTGATCAGAAATACGACAAATCGATCTACTAGGTGGCGCTAGAGTCGAGTTATTCATAAACTCCGTATTTATGATCAGATTTTAATGAATCTAGGAACCTATACTGGGATGGGTGGAAAATAATTTTACGAAAAATTAGTCCGCTCGAGTCGAGATATTCATAAAATCTGTATTCAGGAGTAAACTCCACTCTCGACGTACGAAAACCACACGCAATAAGCCATTTATTATGCCCGAGCTGGTATATGGCGCCGAGCATGAACAAGATGTTGCATGAGAAAGATATTGCGTAAGATTTACGGGTCCTTTCGCATTGACGACGGCGAGTACCGCAGACGGTGGAACGATAAGCTCTTTCGATCTTCAGGGGCATAGAGCAGCGAATTAAATACAACGGCTCCGCTTGCTTGGCCATGTCGTTCGAATAAACACCGACGCTCCAGCTCTGATACTATTCAACTCGGAACCCGCTGTTTGTACAGAGGAAGAGGGAGAGTTCCACTGCCATTCATTCTTACTGACCTCTTAAGTTGGTCGTAGGTTCTCCAGGTCTGTCTGGTAATCCTATACGTTCCACTGCGGCTCCACCTCTGTGTGGTTATCGAGTGACAAATTTTGGTAATTCTGCTTTTGATTTCAACGAGCGAGGAGGCACCCATGACCATCGCAAAGAGCACATTCACTCGCTGTCTCAAATCCTCGTTTTGGTTTCTATATTCTGGCACCCATAAATTGAGGACAACTCTCTCGCTACAGTCTTGCACAGAGTGCGTCGTAACCAAAACGGAAGATATAGCCTGACTGGCTGCCTGGCTATCCAAGCAACTGATCATCTGAGTTCTCTGGCATGCATGGTGGCCTCTTTAATTGCCAAGGTTTCCCCTTCGAAACTCTTGCGTGGTCCGATAAGCAAAAGAACTGGTTCAGTGGAGAGGAGGTGATATTAAAATTTTCACTGTTGATACGGAATTTAATGAGAAAATAGAACGGAAATCTTTTCGCGAAATCCTAGCCAGCTGGCGTATTCTCATTGGTGTTCGGACTTGTCAGATGTCTAGGCAAGCTTAACCAAGGTGAGAGCAAGGCATATGTAGTGTCTCGGAATGAGAGGGCACTATGTTTTTGGAGAAAATTTCACTTACAAAAAATTCAAAGTTATAAAACTCTTGTTTTTCAAAAAAAATAATATTAAAGAAAAATTTATATGAGGGGTCTTTTGGAATTTTAGTCTGTCTGTCCGTATGTATGTTTGTACGCGCATCACTCGAAAACTAATGGTTGGAATTGAATGTGGTTTTCAACGATGTATTGCCAGAGATCTAACTTAAAATATAAAAAAAGAAAAATAATTTGAGAGTTGCCACCTGTTTGAAAATTTCATTTTAGTTAAATTGATAAGATAATGTAAATATTGCAAATAGGGCCAGAGATCTAACTTAAAATATAAAAAGAAAAATAATTTGAGAGTTGCCACCTGTTTGAAAATTTCATTTTAGTTAAATTGATAAGATAATGTAAATATTGCAATATGGCCGCCAAAGGGAAGGGGCTTAGGAAGGCTTAC